ATATATATATATATATAGAGAGAGAGAGAGGGGGGGGAGGGAGAAATGGTATCATGTCACTATACCATTATAATATGATGAAATTACAATTCTAGAAAATCATATTTATGGTATTTCTAATACTCAAAATTTTGTATACATGTTATTTTAATCTAAATAATCGACATAAAAAAAATAGCTTGAAAAAAATAGCATCGGATGGCCAAATCTAAGTTTTTGTTGTTTAGAAACTCATTTCCCTGAAAATGTTGATGTGGTGATTCTTATGTAGAACCCAAAATTTCATGTCCTCTTTTGCAAGTCCTTTGGAAGTAAGTGTGCACGTGCTCTAAGTGAAAGTAACTGGCCACTCTCTTCATTCATGGAGAAAGATACAGTCATGCCCCACCCCCCAAATTAACTTTATTATAAGAATATCCCCAAGTTTTTGTTTTCTAAGTTCATACTCTTTGTTTCTTTCTTGTTTCTTTTTTTGTTTTTGTTTTTTTCAAAAATGGCCACTTCAAACTTTGAAAATCCAAAAGTGATAATGACTTTGGATCGAAATTTCGACTATTTTTCTTTACTATTGAGTTAGACTCTTCATGCACTGAAGTCATTTTTTTTTTTTGCTGTGACAAAAGTGACAAGACTTCAGTCCTTGAAGGTGACCACTTTGAATCATTAAACTCTGACGACATTTGAGAAAACTAAGAAAAAGGGAAATAACGGGCATGAACGTAGAAAACTGATGCATGCCCCATCCGACCCATTCCCATTTCAAGCCCTTCAATCAAGAAAATAATCGTTTGGTTTATTTTGGAGCATGTATCATACGCTTACCAAGGACTAGAACCTACACTTTGGGAAAAAACACCTCTCAAAAGGACTTTTTCTATTTTAAATTTTGTGATCCACGTTAGAATACCTCGACCAATATTCTTGTTTTTGCAAGAGGAAGATTTCGAGTTCTTAAACACGCAAAGTTCAATAATAGGACATGATTAAGGTTATAAAAGTAGTGACTAGGTTTTACTGAAGAGATCAAATGTACAATTTCCTCCTATAGGAACATGAAATCTCTACAATTTTTATTTTTTATCCTTGTTATAAGACAATGAGCATCGGGAGGCAAGTCATTACAATTTGTAACAGGTTGGGACTCAACAAAAGGGACTGGGAACCTCCACTGTTTTTGATAAAACTGGGCATTTAACCTAAAAGCTATGGGGGAAGGGCCCTCTTTTATTCATCTAAGTCGTACGAATCTAACTTGTTGCATGGCAGGTATCGTATGGAGTTACGTCTATCATTTATTTTCCCCTAGACTGTGAAAGGGTCCGAAAAATTACTACAAAATGTGAGAAATAAAAGAGAGTTTAACAGACAACATAAGGCTGCAGAGGAGAAACAGAGAATATGCATCTATGGGCCATTGAGGTTCCTACACATGAAGTGGGAAGGTCGGATGAGACATTAGGATGATGGGGGGATTTGTCATTGGGGTACAAGTAGACATGAGTGGTCCAAGAAGGTCCTTCAACTGTCCCATGCCCGGGTAAAAAGGTTGAGTTGTGTTAGATACGCAGCCAATATAAAACATGGCGGATAAAGATTTATGTAGTTTACCCCAATCAGTTAAGAAGAAACTTTGATGATGAATACAAGGAAACATGATATTAATTAGAAGTGCGTGTTGATAAGTTCCCTGACTCAAGGTAGAACTGAAAAATCAGTATGCGTACATATAGATTTGTGAAAAAAATTTGTCATCAGGATATAAATAAGTAGAAGATCAATATGAAACGAAGAGGGTGCTCCAAGCACCCTTGCTCTCATTTTTGGGCCGCATGCTCCACAAAGGTCTTTCTCTCCCTTTGTCACGTGAAAATAAGGCTAGAAAGTATTTCACTACGTATGCTAGAATCTCTTAATATTTACTCTTTTTTTGGGTTTTTCAAGTAGATTAGGAGTTAACTTTTTGAAAGTGTTAGTGGGGTGGTGTTAATGGTGAGAATGAAAACCACAACGTGGTGACCACGGTGTGTGTGGTGATAGTGCGACCTTAGCCCGACAAATCCCACCTCCCCTCTCTCTCTCTCTGGAATAATTTTTCCCTACTTAGAAACTCTTGGCATCTATGTGGACTCCCAGGTTCTAGAAGCCTAACTAGATGTACCTTAGGGAACTTGAGATGCAAGATTTGGAGCTCAAACATGAAGGATTGAAAATTTTAGACCAAGATGGGAACTTTGAATTCAGACGTGGAGCTCTCCATTTATCGAGTAGAGGAGTTTTTCTCATTAAACTGCATGAAATCACATGGGTGTCAGCATTATCGCCCGAGCTTTATTCCAACTATTCAGAGTCGGTTTCATGAATCATTCTCCACCATATAGGTTTATAATTCATAAAAAATGTGGCAAAAGTTTATGCTGGTTGTCTATCTAATAACCTCTTTTACTTGGGCTTGGTATTGGCATGAAATTTTATGGGTAACTAACTTAAACAGGTTCCATGAGGTTTTGTAGTGAAAAATGGGCACAACCCATTGCGGGGACTTCCAGTGTCTGATCCACAATCTATTTAAAGAAACAACCACATATTTTTTCCAGTGGTAGCTATGGATGAGGTGATTCTTGAATTTTTTAAAAGAAAATAGTTTTTGGTGAGTTTCTGTCAAGTTTTGGAGCAAATTGGAATGACATGTATTTACCCAATCGTGGTAATATTTTAGGGGTTGGAAAACGGTTTTGGTCATGGTCCCTATATCTTTGATTTTCTCTTCGATTTAACTTTCATCTACAGGAATATTTTGATCCAATTCACTGAATCCAAACTTAATTTTGTATAGATTATCCTCAAAAAATTACTTGGGTATATGGTTTCCCAAAAATTGTTTATTTTTTGAAAAAAAACTGCTAATAATTTGCTGAACTTTCTCAATGACTGTATTTGATGTCATTGTTCCCAATGATAATCGATTGTTTATTTTTTGAAAAAAAACTGCTAATAATTTTCTGAACTTTCTCAATGACTGTATTTGAAGTCATTGTTCCCAATGATAACCGATTGTTTATTTTTTGAAAAAAGACTGCTAATAATTTGCTGAACTTTCTTAATGACTGTATTGATGTCATTGTTCCCAATGATAACCGACAATAATTTGATTTTTTTTCTCTTTGCTTTTTGTTCGAAGTGATAATCAAGGAGAAAATTTTTCAGACCTCATTTTGATTTTATATTCTAAATCAGTTAAATCAAAACATCGATAGAAAGTAGGTCCCTCTTGAGTTAAAACCAAAGGTGGATCTGAGCCCAAACGATCGACCCCTATATGGATTGCCGGTATACCAGATGCACCAAAATATAGATGATAAACAGGTTGGACCGCATTTTCATAATATATGGTCCCAAGGTATAAAGCATCTGACTTAAAGATGGATGCAAATAGGTGGTCCATCTAAAAACAAAATTAAACTAATGGTCCAAATGTTTCTTTAATATAATTATTATTTTTAGTTTTCAAATTTTATTTATTTTTTCATATTCATGATCTCCATGTTAAAGATTACATATCCTTAAAAATTACGTCCAAAGTTCCATCTCAAAAATAAAATTTTAAGAGGTGACTTATTTCTACAAGGACTCATAAAAACCATGTCTTTTAGATTTACATAAAATTTTATCTTGGATAATGAGTACCATGTAGATGTAGAGTCCATGGAGGTTGAGGGTGGGGCTGTCGATAGTATTGTTGCTCGAGAACAGTCCAATGCTACTGCCTGAGAATAGTTCAATAACATTAAATCGAGTTCTGATGCAGTTATTCGCGAGAAGGTGGGTGATCCTAATAATTCGACTTCTATTGATGCTGCTTGGGATCAGTTGGATGGCCGTAATTCTCTTGATAGTATCCTCTCTGGTGCTAATTTAGAGCACCATTCTGGTGCTGTTGATGCTATTGTCTGTCAGCGTTTAGGTGTTGTTGCTGCCCGGTTGCAGCTAGTTGTTCCTAATGATCAAGTTATAGAACCATCTGGTGTTGGTATGTCCGCTACAGAAAACAAACGGGATTCACATAAAAAATGAATATGGATGCACCTTCGGATAAGGACGCTGATGAGCCTCCTTTAATGTCTTCTCCGAGCAAAGCTGAGGAGGGTAAGAGGGTGCAGATAAGATACAGGAGAAGGAGATTGATGATCCAAAACGATGTCATCTTTGGCAAGCTTTTTAATTTCTAGTTTATATATGTTAATCACAACATAGAATACCTGTGGCCATGGTAGGGCATTTGATATTGGTGTTCTTAATAATCAATAAAATGTGGGGTTGTTATTCCTTCTAGAGACTAAATTGTCAGTAGATTTGATTAATGTGTAGTTTAGGAAATTGGGTTTTTACAATAATGTGATTGCTAACAATATCGATGGTATATCAAGAATTATGCTTCTTTGGAATCCATCTATTTATTTCATCAGTGTTATTAATGTTAATGATCAAATGATTACTATTGAAGCGACTCGCTTATGTAATGGTTGTATTTCAATTATTTATGGGATATATGTTTTTAATTATGTATCTTAAAAGGCTCTACTTTGGGATCATATGAGATGTGTTGGGGGCTGCTACTACAGTACCTTAGTTGGCATTAAGAGATTTTAATATTATATTACAGAACTCAGAAAGGATGGGTGGTAGTGGTTATTTACCTTTGAATTCAAGGGGTTTTGCCCAGGTTATGTCAGATTGTGGAACGATTGGTTACACAAATCATTTCTCGTATTCGGGAGCTAGCATATGCTAAATAATGGACATTTCATTTGTTAAAAAGAGCAATCATTGATAACTTATTATTCAAATGAAATCAGCAGAGGGATAAAATTATTATTCCAGTGGCATACTCATTTCCTAGCCCTAATCAATTCAAGTTAAACATTGATGGGGCTTCCTTGCATAACCCAAGGCAAGCAGGGGATGGTGTTATTAAGAATTCTAATGGTCTTTTATTGCAGCGTTTGTCAAACCTTTTGGAATAACTTATAATAATTATGTGAAATTTTTTACTCTCAAAGAAAGATTGATCCTAGCCGATCAATTACAATACTACTTTATTTAGATTGAAAGTGATTTCTGAACGATTCCGACCTCCATGGAAGCTATAAATGGTTATAGCAAATAGTCGACAACCTCATTTTGAATGTGGATGGTCTATCTCTCACATTTCTCATGAGGTTAATATAGGGCCTGACATTCTTGTAAAGAGGAATGCATCTTGTCTAAAAACCAGTGTTTAAAAAAACGCCGAGTCGAACCGGACTCGCCCGGTTCGACTCGGGAATTGCCATGGACGGATCGAATCGGCGAAAAAAATGGGAATCGTCCGGTTCTAGAGAGAACCAGACGATTATGTACAGTGACTCGCCGATTCACTGTACGGAATCGGCGAGTCCGTACAGTGAATCGGCGAGTCCCGTAAGGATTTTTATTTTTATTTTTTTTGTTGTTGTT